TCGCACAAATGGTGGCCGACCCCTGAGCTCGACGGGATCATCGGGCAGCGCGGTTGGGGCCAAATGGGCTTTGGTGCACGCGCGAGCCTCCGTGGGGGGCGCGCCTGCGGGGGCGCCTCTCGGGGCAACGCCGAGGCTCGCACGTGCACCAGGGCCTATCCAGGCACGGCGCAATCACTTGTCGTCGAGCTGCTGTCGGCGGCCTCGTCTACGGCAGCGGGGACGTGTGGCTCGAGGGCGACGCCGCGTTCCACGTCCACTGCGTGGCGGTGGCCGCGGGGCGCTCCTACCTCATCGTGGAGCCGCTGGACCTGGCGTCGCGGCCTGCGCCTGGGGAGTCCGCGTGGCGGCCACGAGGAGGACCGAGCTGTGCAAGGAGGAGGGAGGGGGAGGAGGGGAGGGAGGGGGAGGAGGAGGAACAGGGGGACGAGGAGGAGGGGAGGAGGAGGGGGACGAGGAAGGAGAGGAGGAGGAGGAGGAGGAGGAGGAGGGGGACGAGGAGGATGGGATGGCCCACTACGCCGCCGCCCCATAGGATGCGGCGCGCTGGCTGCTGAGGACGCCCCGCGGGCGCCTGCGGCGTACACCCGCCGAGCCGAGGACGGGTCGGTCCGCGCGCTGGTGTAAAACGCGCGCGCGCGGCGGTGCACCGCCTGGCGGTGGGCCGCCTGTTGTAAAAAATCACGTTCGCGCGGCGGTAGCCCGCCTGGCGGCATCCCGCCTGGGGAAAAGGAGGGACGGAGAGGAGGGGGGCGGGAGCGGGGCCCCGCAGGCTGCGCGGATCGATGGCGACGCCGACGCGTTTTTGAAAGCGCCCCCGCCCCCCATTTTCCATACGAAAAAGCAGACTTATCGGACTTATAAATTAGATATAAGTTACATATAAGTAAGATATAAGTAAACTAGTTTTGATGAAGATGCTAGATATAAGTAAGAAGAAGTAACATACATGCAGCATGTAACATATGTCAACGCCATCACCAAAGTAGCGCGGCCGACCCCCTCGACGTCGGAGGCGATGGAGCTGCCGACGCCCCGCCAGGCAGCAGGGCCCCCTCTCCTGCGCCCGGCGCTCCCCCCCGAGTCCGAGGGCGCCGCCGCCGGGGCGAGGCCGCCGCGCGCGGCGCGGGCGACCGCGGGGACTGGGAGAGCCCGCAGGCGCAGCGGCACCGACCGCGAGGCCAACGGCCGCGAGGAGCTGGACCGACTGGAGAGACGGGGGCGACTCCGCCCACCGTTGGCCCCGCCGTGGGCCGTCCGGGGGCCCCGCGCGGACCCGGCGACCGCGCGCTGGAGTCTGGGTTGTTTCAGGGCCCAGGGCGGCTCCCCCGAGCGGCCTGACCGACCCGGACACCCCCTGAACGAGGTCGACCTCTACCCCCCTGGCAGCGAGAACAGCGCCGCCGCGGTGGACCGCCTCCAGAGGGAGCTCGGGGAGTACTTCAGCGGAATCTGGCACCAGCGGTGCAACCGGCGCCCCCCATGGACAGACCCGCCTGCGCAGATCCCTTCAGGCAGGGCCCCTACTCCTACGAGGACTTCCTTAGGAATGGCGTCGTCGCGACCGCAGCCCGCTGGCCGTGGACAGGGCCAACCGCCTCGGAGCCACCCGGGGGAGGGGAAAGTGCGGCTCGCGCAAGAGGAAGGGGAAGGTCGACCGCGCAGCCAGTGCGACCTGGCACCAGGACCAGGGCCCCTCCAGCCGCTCCTCGAGCAGCCGCCGACCCTGGGAGCATCGGCGAGCTCGCCCCGCTGGGGCCTGGGCCCCCGCCGCCGCTGTGCACCCGCCGCGGCCGACCCCTCCGTCTGGGATCCACGCGCCAGACCTCTTGGCAGCCGACGCCGCGGCTCGCCCACCCCGGGACGTGCGCCCCTGCTGTCGCGCCCCCCGGGGCGCCCTGGGAGTTTGGGCGCCGCCGCTGCAGACCCCGCCCCCGCCCGCAGGTCCTGTGCTGCGGGGCCGCGGTTGGCCGCTGCTCCTGCCCCGCTCCTAGCTCGCGACTAGGAGCAGCAGCGCGGCGGTTCTGGCGCGCACCGCCGCGGGGCGCGCGCCCCCTCCCCGGCGGCCCCCCTCGCGACCCCCCCGGGCGCCCCCCCCCCGTGGGCTCCTTGCCCCTCGCGCGCCGTTTGCGCCAGTTCATGCGACCGTTGGTCGCTTCTGCGCCTCGCCTGCGCTTTGGCCGCCTCGCAACTCTACGCAAGTGCATGCGACCGTCAGTCGCCTCTGCGCCCCCCCATGCTCGCGACCCTTGTCGCCCCCCCCCCATTGGGTGCTGGCTCTCCTGCCGGCCCTCCGCGCTCTGTGCGCTTCCCCCCCCCTCCTCGCGCACTCCCGCGAGCGCGGGTCGCGTCCTTGCTCTGCGCCGCGCGGGCTGGGGCGTCGCCCTTGCGCTCTTCCCGCCCCGCCGCAGTCCGCTGACCCCATGCCATGCGCCGGCCCCCCCCGCGGCCCCCGTCGTGGGCCACCTTGGCCTCGCGCCCAGTGCTGCCAGGCGCGCGCCCCGGCCGGGGCTGTCGGCTCGCGCCCGGCACCGCTGGTTCCTTGCCCGCTGGCGCGGCCTTCGCCGCCAGTCTAGTTCGTGGCTCCCCGCCCCCTGGCGCCGAGCCCCCCCCCCTGCCCCGCGCCCCGCGTGGCCCGCGCGGGGCCCCTTCGACGCTTCTGCCTCGCCTGTGGCTCGGGGGCGCAAAGGCGCGTCGGGGCCGTTTTGCTGCCGTGGCCCCTTCGCCGCGGCCCCCGCCCAGCGGCCTCGAGTCTGCTCCGCGCAAGGGCGCCGCCTGGGCCCCTCTCTTCCCCCCTCGCCGCGCAGCGGGCGCGGGCCGCCACTGCTGGGCGCCTGCCCGCTCTCTGAGGCCCTCTCGCCGCCGCGGCCCCCGCCGCCCGCCGCGGCTATCGGCTTGCGGCGGCCCTCCGATGCTTGTCTGGGGCCCCCCGGGCCCGCCGACCATTCGGTCCGCCCCTTGCCACTTTGGCAGCGTTCCCTCTTGCCCCCCGAGCTGGATCCGACACCGCAGTCGCCCTGCCGGTCTTGGCGACCCGGACTCCCGCCCGACGAGCGCCTGCATGCCAGCTGGCCTTTTCACTGGTGTCAACGCGCGGCTGGCTGCCTTCAGTCTGCTTACGACGTGCTTGTCTCACTGCGCGAGCTGCCGTCGCCACTCGTTCCGCCGCCACCCATATTGGCTTCGTCGCACCTGAAGGCTTGCTCCCCTTGCAGGGATGCGTAGCCCTTGCCGCGCTCAGCCCCCCGCGTGCTGCCCGTCGTACAGGCGCAGGCGCTTGCGGCTCCCGCTATCTCCCGCGGGTTTGCCCCACGCCGCAGTCACGGGACACCGCGCTGCCAGCTAATTGCCCGCCGCTTTGGCGTGCACCTCCGGCGGCTGCTAGCCGCCGATGGCACCCCCTCCGTGAGCGCCGCGCGGCCCGCCCCGGCTAGTCTCACCTCCCGCTGTTCTCTTGTTGTCTCTCTTTTCCTTTCTCTCGCGTGCAATTTGGGCTCCTGCTTGCTGGTTGTAGCTTTGGACGGCGCGCGGCCCCTCCGCTTGTGCTCGCGAACAACAAATCCCCACCAGCCCATCCAGAAAAGAGGCCCATGAGAGCTGACGGGGGGAGAGAAAAATAGACACGCATAGTCAAACAGCGATGGGGGCCGGCCTGGACGGCGTTTTGGGGCCATCATTGGGCCCACTTGTTGGGGCCATCTCCGGGTTTGGGCATCTCGGCGGCATCCTGGGGAGGCTCCGTGGCCATATTGAGCCGTCTTGGAGCGGCCTTGGGGCCTCCTCGGGCATCTTGGGGACAACTGGAGCTAGCTTGGGCTATCGTGAAAGTGATGTCGGACTCTCTGAGTTCCCATCGGGGGCCGCTCGAGGGCCTCTTGGGGTCCTCTCGGGTACTTCTTGGCGGCCTCTTGAGGCTTCTTGGGGCGCTCTTTGGGCCCTCTTGGGGGCCTTTTGGGAGCCTTTTGGGAGCCCTGGAGGGCCTTTTGGGGCCATTTTGGAGGCGGTCGGTCAAAAATGGGGGGGTACTAGATTTTCGCCGCCCCCCTCGGGGGCCACGATCCTTGTGAGGGGTGGCAGAAGGGCCGGAAAAAAGGAGCCTCCGACACATCGCGACCCCTCCCAAAACACATCAGGGAGAGGAGGGGGAGGGTTCCCCTCCCCGAAGGGAAGAGGGGTTGTGCAAGAGGAAAGAGACCCTCGTTAGACCACCTGTACCTCGTCCTTCGGTCAGGCCTCGGATGAGGATGCATCGCTCCAGAGCGCTCCAGAACTCTCTGGACTCGCCACGGAGCCGGATACAGCCTCCAGACCCGCCTTTTCTCAAACATGCAATATTTCTCTTCATTCGAAAGTGTCCTTACCCTTCCAGCGTCTTACTCTTCATTCTTCCTCCTCCTCCTCCTCCTCCTCCTCCTCCTTTCCGGAGGGGAAACAAAACACATATACACAATCGTCGATTCCCAGGAACATATGGGAACATATGGGAACGGGGAGGTAGCCGAACATGCAGAAACTACCAGAAAATATGAGGAATCTTTGGGTTTGTGTGTATTATTTATGTGTCCCTGGGTCCCTTCATCCTCCCCTGCCCTTTCGCGGGGTGCGCTGTGGCCAGAACTCCGAGGCGGATCTGGTCGTTGCCTCCGGGCGCGGCCGATTCGGTTCGACCCCCATTCCGTGCCGATGCAGCCCGATACGACACACGTTCTGGTCCGATCCGATCTCACGATTCGATGCTGGTTGCTCTTGTTCCGCTGGCATATGTCGATTCGATTTCGAGTTCCAGGCGATTCGATAAGGCCCGATGCTCGCATGCGCGCCGTTGTGCGTCCTGGCGCGGCCGATCCGACCCCGACTCCGCGGCGATGCGGCCCGATCAGACGCACGTTCTCGTCCGATCCTATCTCCCGACTCGATGCTGTCTGGTAGTGCCCCTGCTTTTCTCCGCCCTTTTCCTTCCCCTGCTCCCCCTCCTTTGAAGCAGGGCCCCACCCTCGCAGGTGAACGGCAGCTCGGCCCTCAAGCCCGTGCACGTGCCCGCCCCCCCCCTCCCCCCTGCGAGTCTGCTGCGGGGGGCGGGGGGTGGCGCCATGGCAGGACGGAGGGAAGAGAGGGAGGCGGATCGATGAGCCTCGGGGATGGATCGAGAACGGGTCGAGGGTTTGGGATGTCTTGGGCCTCGGCCTCGAAGTTCTTTTCAGAACGCGCCCCAGGACAGCTATGGGGGGTGAATGTTGAGGGAGGGTGGGGGCGGAGGAGGAGGAGGAGGAGGAGGAGGAGGAGGAGGAGGAGGAGGAGGAGGAAGAAGTAGAGGAGGAGGAGGAAGAAAAGGAAGAGGAGGAGGAGGAGGAGGAGGAGGAGGAGGAGGAGGAAGAAGAAGAAGAAGACTGGTCCGCGCGCCCATTTGTGCAACAACTTCTTGAGGCCAGCAGCTCGTTCCAGAATGCTCCGGGGCTTCACCCACATGTCGTTGCAACCAGGACAATTGTCGGTGAGGCGCTCGCGTCCGATCCCCGTGCTCCCATCCAGAGAAAGATCTCGAGGGCGTTGGAACGCCCAATGCTGGTCGATGATCTTCAGACGACCATAGTGAAGCGACTCTGCAAATGGGACAGTAGTCCGCCTTCCTCATCGTGCTCTAGCGGCTATCCCCTGGCCCAGTCTCCGATCTGTGCTCGTTGCGATGCCCCCAGCATGGCAGATCTCAATGATGAAAACTCTGGTGGGTGGGTGGACGACGGAGCGAAGGGTTTGCCAGCGAGGCTGTCCATGCAAATTTTCGTGTCCAGGACAGCTCGATTACATGAAGCACTATTTGTTCTGTCCTGCTCTCTGGGCTGAGGTGCGCAAGATCTATTCCTTTGGAGCAGTTTCTTGATTGCCGTCTGGCTCTCTCTCGTGATCAGTCGGATGAGGAGAGGATTATTGCTGTGCAGATAACTGCGTTGGCATCCTAGAGGTATGATGCGGTTAATAATGCCCCAACACGTGAGCTGGGTGTTCTTGTGTCCTATGCCAGAGTTGCCAGAGCGTAGTTAGTACAGCTAATGCCAGAGGTTCATGCGTAGCTATTGGACATCTTTCCGAGCTGTGTGCGAGGAGGAGGATGAAGAGGAGGAGGAGAAGGAGGAGGAGGAACAGGAGGAGGAGGAACAGGAGGAGGAGGAGGAGGAGGAGGAGGAGGAGGAGGAGGAGGAGGAAGGGGAGGACGAGGAGGAGGAGGAGGAAGAGGAGGAGCCACGAAACGTGCCCCCAGCCGCCCTCCAGTCCAGCCGTGGCGACGCCAGACTCCAGCGGCCGGCATCAATCGACAGAATCCTCGGCGGCCTGCTCAGGAGCTCTCTCCGTGTGCGCGAGCGAGTCGCCGCATGCTTCTTTTCGGCCTGCTCAGCCCGAGCCACCTGCAGCTCGCCTTGCACGGCGGCGGTAGGTTTTTTTGCCGCGATGGCGTCTGCCGACGTGGCCGCCCAGCACACCTTGCGCTGGGCGGTAGCCGCTCTGTCCTTGGACGCTGCGCACGGTGAAAAAATCGGTGACCATCTTATCAGCCGCTCCACCCCGCCGCAGCCCTTGCAACGTTACGTCGAAGGTATCCGGGCCTCCCGTCTTCCCGACCTTCCCGGGGTTCAGGGAGAGGCCCGGCAGCCCTCGCATCAGGTAGTTCTCTGAGCCTCCACTGCAGCTGCGTTGCCCCCCTCGTGTCGAGCCCGCCTCCTTGCTGCGGTCTACGTCGGCCTAGTCTTCCTCGCGTGATCTCTCCGCGAAGCCCCATGCAGCCTCGCGGCGTGCCGAAGCCGTGGTCGAAGCCAGACTGCGGACGACATCGAGCGCGGGCTTGGGAAGGGAGGGAACCTTGGGCCGCGCCGTGGGCGCGCTGGAGTCCCCGGAACACTTCGGTTCCGCGCTGGAAATCTCCAGCCTCGGCCTCTTGGAGTGCGTGCGATTGCGAGTCGACATTGAGGGATGGGACTTCGGGCAGCGCCGCCAGCGCTGCGAAGTCCCCGGCGCTCTCCACGTAGCCGCCGTCGTGGCCGTCCTCGTGCACCAGGGAGCCTTTCAACTTCTCATCGAACAAGTCGCAGCCCTCATCCTCGCGGAGTTCCTGCGGTTGCGAGTCGACGAACGGCGGGTCAGGGCCGCCCCCTCCTCCGCGCGGCCCTCGATCACCAGCACCTCCAGCACGTCCAGCGATCCGTCCAGGTCCCTTTCGCACTGCGGGTTAGGGAGTAGGAGACTTTGGAGGAGGAGAAGGACGACGAGGAGGTTGAAGAGGAAGAGGTGGAGGAGGAGGAGAAGGAGGAGGCGTGGGCATCGTTCAGACGTGTGCACTTTTTTTCGGCGAGGATCATCGCGGAGCATCCTGGATCGAAAAGTGCACGGGGAATGGACGTCCGAGCGATGGCAAGGAGGAGGAAGAGGAGGAGGAGGAGGAGGAGGGTGACCTGGTACCCAATAGAGTACTGGCTGATGTTTTAAGATCTGGAATTGTCATGAGTTTGAAGCGCTTGTATCTCATATAGACATTTTTTGTCACATTGCCCTGCCGCGAGAAGGCAAAGGCGCCTCAGCTGGCGGTGGTTCGCTCAGACTGGGATCCAGGGTGGTGGGGTCTTGCGAAGCAAGTGCCAGTTCACAAACGTATGCGGGATGACACTATGGTGCACATGTCAAGTGGGCCACAAGAGCGTTCTTACACGATGCTCACACGTGTTTTGGGCATGGGATGGTGATGCAGGCTTGAGACTTGCTTTGATTTGTCAGAGTAGAGGGCTTGCAAACACGAGTTTGTCGCGGACGGTGCTGGAAGTTGCACCTTCCCGCGCCACTTCCATGATACGGCAGAGATCCGCCGCCTGACCAGATGAGCAGAGAGGCTGCCAACGTGAGGCACGACTTAACCGACATGCGTGTGTTCACCCAGTTGCAGCGTTACCAAATTTCCACCTGCGATCTTGCTGACCAACGTATTTTGGGTTTGGGGCACGCCTACGACCTCTTTCGTACCACGTTCGAATACAAGGCCTATTCTCCCAACACGCGCTAATGGAGAGCACGTGAATGCAACGCAGCCGTAGACGTTTGTAACGCGGCGCTGGGAAAATAATCAGGTATGTACGTTGTCTTGCATGAAGTTATCTCGCGTGCGCTGGTGGGTGGGTCACACTTTTTCGCGTACTCTGGCGGCGCTGACGGCGGATTCCGAGGGCGCGATTCAAGTGCTTGCGTAGTCGTCCCATCACGTGGAAGGAGGCATAATGGAGCGGATCATGCCCGCTATCGCGGGCATTGCATCGACGACGCGTGGTCGCCCTCTCAGACGGAGCTCGTTGCTGCAGACCTTGCAGTAGTTTTTGCCAGAGGGTTACTGGTGGCCCACAGATAGACGCATGCTGAAACCTTTGTTTTGTTAAGTGAAGATGACGGTAGAATTTGGTGTTATACGCGTGTCTAATTGCTTGTGGAGGCAACTCTAGCAAGGAAACCCAGCATCAAACAACGATTCGGTTCCATGGCGCCTCGATTTGAAGTTCTTGACGCTCCGCGTGTCCACATCAGCTCTACCAGTTCTTTTCGCCCTTCTGAGCTGACGCCCCGCTTGCTGCGCCTGTCTTGCTTTTCCGCTTTCCGCTTTCCGCTGCCTAGTCGTGGCCCGGCTAGAGTTTGGACGCCTTTTGGCGCGCTTAAGGGGGCCGTTGACCAAAAAGTGCCCACATCAGCCCATCCCGCAACGATGCCCAGGCGTGTTGCTTTGATCAGGGAAGTGGTGGGAGGGGGGAGCATGCCGTGGAACGAAAAGCTAAGGAAGTCGTCATCTTGAGCCATCTGCGGATATCCTGAGCCATCTTTTCTCGGAGGCACTCTTGGAGCCGTCTTGGGCCATCTTGGGCGCTCGAAATCGCCTCGTAGGACCCTCTTGGGCGCTCTTGGGGCCGTTTTGGCGCCATTTCGGGGCTTCCTGCATGCACGTTGGAGGCCATCTTCGGCCGACTTGGACCGTCTTGGAGCCATCTTGGAGGAGATCGATCAAAGAAGATGGGGGAGAATACGGGGGTACTCAATTAGCGCCGCCGCATTCAAGCCCTTGCAATCGAGTCTCGGCCCCCTGTTGGAACGCTCGTTGTTTGCTCGTGGGCGCGCTTGGAGCAGTTTTGGAGCCCTCTTGAGCCCCTATTAGGGCTCTCTTGGCCCTTTTGGAGCGATCTTGGCCTCGGAGGGCCATCGAACGCGAACCTGTGAGACGGCGAACCATATTGTTTGTCCTGAAGTTGTCAACTGTTTTTGTTTGCCTCTTGGCAGCTGCCCTGTAAGGTTCCGTGGCTACATGGAGCCGTCTTGGGGTGGTCTTCAGCCCTCTTGCAGCATGCTGGGAGCCATCTTGGGCCGTCTTGAGCCGTCTTGGAGGCCATCTTGGAGGTCACCTTGGGTTCCGAGGCCCTCTTGGAATCATCCTGGGGCAAGCATGGCGCTCCAACTACCCGCGGGGCGCCCCGTCCAGGTCCAGGGGGGGCGATCGGTGCAGTGGTCAATGCACCTCGTGCTCATAAGGCACAAGCCGTCTCGTTCACTCCCACCCGCTCTCCCAGCACACAGTAGCACCCGGGCGCCCCTGACAAAAACCAGTGCAAAGTGGTCGCGGGGAGCTTGCGCATATTCCAGATTTGGAAGCAAAGTGCGGTTTGTATTGTAAGCTGGCAGGGATTTATGGTTTGCGTGCAGTAACCAGTATGAGGGCACCCCACCGTCCCTGTTCAAATCCAAAGCGAAATCGTCGCGGGGCGCCCGCGCATGCTGCAGATTTGGCGGCAAAGTGTATTTCGCATAGTTTTTTTAGGGATGGTTGGCCTGCGCGCAGCAATCAGTATGAGGCCCCCCCGCCGTCCCTGTCAAAAACTACTTCAAAGTGGTCGCGGTTCGCCCGCGCGTGGTCCAGATTCGGAGATAAAATGTACTTTTATAGTTTCATTTGACCGGGACATCGGACACAGCGGCGACAACGGCGACATCTACACCCCGCACGGCACGCCGGTGAAGG